TGTTTTATGTTACGGTTAAAGTTTTTATGTCTTTAGTTAATCTGCATGCAATAGTTATAGAATTATTAACATTTTAAAAGTTTAAATGGCGAGATAAGCCTAATGAACCACCATTTGTTTACATTTGACACTCAGTAGAATAAATAATGAATTAAGTTAGTGTGTAAGCAGTCAGTTAATAATGTGCACCTTCAATGTCTTTTTGCCGAGTGGGACTAAAAGTAAACTTTCGGTTTTGTGCACAGGAAAATCTGTCTTCAACAGTTTCATGCATAATTATCATCGTTTTATAAATAGTTTAAGATAAAAAAATATAAATATGTAAAATAAAAATATATGTGATGTACCAGCTTTTGTTGTAGCTTAAATTATCAGACGATAAGTTTAAAAAAACAGGATCCCTTTATTATTATTCAGGAGAAATAGCAGTTACAAAATCAGATATCCGGAGTAAATAAAAAGAATTACTAATAACTTTTTGTATGAAGTTTACTGCATCGTGACATTTAAGAAAAAGCCCCGATATTTTTTTGCGAGTCCTTTTATAGCCTCTGGAAAGGCGGAGAATTTCCAGAACATTCTATAACTGTACGTGTAGAAAAGGCAGGAAAAACAACTTGACTACGGGGCTGTGGATTTAATTCCACGTACTTTTAAATAAGAGAACGTCGCCATTAAAAATGAAAAGAACATACAGTTAGAATTTAAGTGTATTCTTGACTATGCAATTTTATTATTACATATATATAATTAAATATATAAAAATTTATAAACAGTTTATAAATAAAAAAGCAGTTTATAATAAAAATATTTTATAAATAAAAAAGATAGTTGAATGATTTAAATCAGCGGTGCCCAACCTTGTGCTCGCCAGCCCGATTAGGTACAAAAAGATATTTTAAAAATAACCATTCATTTATATTTCTTAATTGTTAAAATATGATAAGCATTTGTAGTCATAAGAGATATCTTGCAAGACGTTATAAAATAACTGGTTGCTGACTGATGAACTGGTAGCGAACATGGAATCTTATTGTTTCATTCCGATGTTAGATGGCTCAGCAGTGGCAAAGTACCTCAACGATTTGTAGAACTTCTTTCTCCAATAATGTAGTTTTTGGAATCCGGAAACGAAAATTATAAAGAATTGGACGATAATAATTAATTATCCGATCTGTATTTTCTCACGTATATAACAGCTAAACTGAACAAACTGAACGAAGATCCCCAGGGAATAGAAAAAAAAAAAAAACCTTTTTCAATTGACTGGGACTGCAACTGCTTTTCAGATAAAGTTAAATTTCTGGATAAATCATATGAAAGAAAAAAATTTCAACCATTTTCAGAATTTATCATTCCATATTAATAAATACAAGGCAATTGAAACAGAAAAATACCCGGAAAACCACATAGGTTTTCTGTATATTTATATGTTTATATTTTTCCGGGTTGATGTTTTCCTAAATGCACTGAAAAATAATTTTGAACTCCGCTTCTCTGATTTCCATACAGTTCAACCAATATTATTATTCATCTCAAACCCATTTGCTGAAATTAATATTTCAGATGTATCAGATAAGATTGGAAATATGTTTAACAAAAATGTTGATGTTTTGGAAATGTGCTCGCGATAGGCCAATGATTGGGCACCACTGCTTTAAATCAAGAATGTTTTGGAAATTTTGACTATTTTTATACCATTTTATTTGTAGTAGCTTTGTTTAATTCATATAAGGAAATGTTAATATTTTTGCTTTATTTATTGACTCAAGTAATATTTTCAAATGCAGAAGATAATTCTTGCGATTTATTTTCATTGGAAAATAATAATAATAATAATAATAATAATAATAATCACGAGAAACGTCAACCAAAACCTCTCAACAAAATTGAGTTTCGGAATTATTATGTGAGTTACCGATTAACACTTGTTGAACAATTTATATTATTACGAGGAATATTTTGACGATGTTTATTTAAAAAAAAAAAGCAAAACTTAAAAATAAAGAATAATATAGTAGAAAAGAACTGAATTCTGTGTTTCAATATTTAGTACAATACTTATGCAAATTAATTTCAAAAATATAAGTCTCCGAAAACAAATGTGAGTTACTGTTAGCCAAGCGCAGCTGCTTTCTGGTATATTTTTCATGAAATCTAAATTTACACATCTGAACCAAATTTTTATCAGAAGGTTTATCTCGGAAGATAAGTGCATTCTGAATTCGTATTCTTGGGGCGGGGCAGATCACGAGGTACGTTTCCAGCTTAACATAAATACAGATTTATTTCCATAGCACAGATGAAAAGTAAAGCGTAATAACGTTAAGAACGAATCCAAAACGTGTTAGAACGTCGAACAGCAAAAGCATTCTTTCTCCTCTAACGCTTTTTACACGGATCATTGCAAGCTGAACATCACGTGTGCGGCGTTCGCGTTCCGTAAAGACCGCATAGTTTGTGAGTTCACCTTTCCGCAGCCGATCAATGAGTGTGGAACGTCATGAGCCTCTATGAGTCATCGGCGGGGAGCGCACTGCTTCCTTCCCTTTTAGTTATTTGCTGTTTTATTCTTTTTTTATTTTTCTCTTTTTAGGAAGTGGGTATGTCGTATCGTCTGCTAGCAAGTAGAGAATTTCGTTTTCCACGTACTGGCTTTTGTCATTTTTTTTTTTTAATGCAATGTTCGATAGCAGTATTAGATATTAAATTTTTAAAGCGTTCTTTTTCGGAAAACGCGTTGCAGTCGCATATATTGATGGATTGCAAGTGCTATCCGGAATTAAGTTAAATATTGTATCATAAAAGTAAAGTGACAGCGCATACATGATTCGAATTAATTTTTCAGGTATTAAATAAAGTCTTAACTATTTTATTTCTAAAATCAAACAAATGTAGAATTTTTAAAATTAATTTCCAGGCTATTTGAGATTTTCTTTTCCCCTCCCCATTTTAAAGATAATAAGCATAAAAAACATATTTTATACCCGTTTTTATAGCGATGATTAGAACATTCTCTTAGTCATTTCACCGCATTTCTCAAATTAATATTTTCTTGACTGAATTGGTTATAACCTACTTCTGAGACTCTGTTTGACTGAATTGGTTACAATGTGTATCTATTTCGAAGGAAAACACGAAAACACACCAACGTAAAAATTAAAATTACACACACACACACAAAGAATGGCTTAGATTTTAAATAAAATTCTATCGATTTTCAGACGAATTGACAAAGAACCTTCTTCAGAAACATTTCCCCCCCCCCTTAAAGACGGAGATTTAACAGAGAAATTTTTAAGCAAATCAATGGGCAGAGAAAATAAACGTAATGCCATTTGTCGAGGAATACAGTAACGAAACGAGAAAAGGATAAGATATTAAACTTTCGAAATCCTTCTGAAGATGGGATTGGAATTCATATCGGTACTTGCATATTATCTCAGCGACCGTTAATTTGTCGCCGAGCAGAGCGATTTAGCTCCCGTTGTAGCTGCGTAACGTAACAACCTACTCTTAACGTATGCGCTCTCGTTTCATGTAACCCCGACTGATTTTCGATAAACCACGTTTAGTTTTGATGAACATAGGTATAAATTACTGTTATTGCTGCATTTTTTCCTTGTATTTTGAAAAATAAATTTTCGTCCTGCATTCTACGGAATAGCAAGCAGTGGATTATTTTCAAGGTTATTTGATCTTACCGTCAAAAAAAAAAAAAAAAAAAAAAAAAAAAAAAAAAAAAAAAGTGTGTATTAATGGATAATATACGGCTGAATATGACCGACAAACCAGTAAAAGACTGAGAAAATTACATACAGGAAGTTTATACTCATATAGTTCTAAATATAATTTTTATATAATCAGAAGGGCTAACAAATTAGTAGAAATCGAAGAAAGCCATTTTACAAAACGCAAAAACGAAGAGGAGTCCATTTGTTGAGAATTCCACGGGAACGATTGGCGCAAATTTTGTAGGATCACCGCCAACTTTCATGGTTCGATGGCAGCTAGCTTTCACGGTAGACGAGATAACGCGTAAGTATGATATCTTAATATCATTAACTAAGGAATTTTTGTGGACGTGAAAAAACGACTTGAAGGAAATTTAATTCATCGTCTGAAGAAGCTTCAGTTCTAAATAACCACGTTTTCTGTGTTAATGTTAATTAACATTCTAAACGTTTAGCAAAGTACATTATACTCTCTTTTTATTCTATCCTAACTAATAACACATGAGTGAGAAAAAGATTAGACTTATGCGAAAATTTCGAATTCCTAATCTTTCTTGCAAGTTGTTAGTCGTTTTAAAAAATCTGATGAAACAATACATGACTTCCTTATAAGGCCTATTAAACTGTACACAATTTTTGCTGCACTTCATTTAAACATATTTTCTCGAATTATTCTAATTTAATTAACCGATTCCACGGGGTAAGTTCAATACGAAATAATTAATATTTGCTGAAATATTTTCGAAACAATTGGATTTAGGAATGTAGTATTTCACTGGTCTAAATTTTGTATCTTTTTTCCATAGGCTGCTTTAATTCTTGACCCTGTACAATGCCTAGATTACAATTTCAATGTATCATTTCTGAACTTGATATTGTGGTGATGAGAGATTTCTACTATTGGCTCTGACTCCAAATTAATCTTTATTTTTACAACTCTGTTTCATCAAATAAAGTCAATCCACGTTTTAAATTTTAAAAAAAAATCTTTATTTCGTTTTTAGGAAAATGTAAACAACTCTTTAGAACAATATCATTAGTAATCTTTTTGTTGCCATTCCAAGATCAACAAAAATTGAATAATCTTTTTGTTGCCATTCTGAAAACAACAAAAAACAAATAAAACGATATTAATCAGTATTTAAAGTTTCTGTATAAGTTCAAGCCACAACACTACCATATGTGGATGAACATCATAAACATATAAGTACAGGAAATCTAGGCATTGTACAGGGTCAAGAATTAAAGCAGCCTATGGAAAAAAGATACAAAATTAGACCAGTGAATATCTTCTGCATGATCAAGATATGCAGAAGGGCCTAATAAATAAGTAGAAAACGGAAGAAATCTTTCTGATCTTCTGCATGATGGCTGGTAATGTAACTAATGAGTTTTTTTTTTTTTTCTAAATTTAAAGCAGACGATTGTATTTAAAACAGAATATACTGCTAGAAATATTTGTTGAGCTTGTTAAAGACTTTTGAGATCATCGAAACTGTTACGAAGAAAGTTGATAGGACAAAAAATTCTTTTGTACTTGGACGAATTTACGTCTTTGAATGGGTTGGTTCAAAATTATTTACTCTTTTTGTCTTTAATTATATAATCGACTTTTAGTGAAGCTTTAATTCATTTTCCCCTGATGAGTTCTGACTTGCAGTTTCAGTAAAAGGAGATTAATTACTATTTTTATTATCTTGTAATCCCCCCTTTTGCATTTTCACTTTTATTTTTAGAGTTTGTACTACTATGAATTCTTATTTTAATTTTGATATGTTTAGATTTAGTGTTAAACCTCTTATACACCATTGCTAATACTGTTGAGCAATAACTTTGTTTTGACTCCAATTTACTTTTAACGTTAGAATCTTTAAATCTCTCTCTCTATATATATACACTTTTCGTATTGCCAGTTGAAATTAAAAAGGGAGGCGCACACAACTAGGTGTTATAGCAGTCCCATACACATAATTTCAAGGTTCTGCGGTTAATTAATTTTAAGCTATGTGAGACACATATACATACATAATACACATATACATACATACACATATACATACATACGTTAAGTCTTTTTTTTTTTTTTTTTTAAAAAATCCATTTTAAATCAGTTTTACAACCCGTTTTGGGAAAAAAGAGTCTTTTATTCTCTCCGTACATACATACGTCACGCAAAAAAATCGTCCAAATAGATTCGAGAGCAGTTAAATTGGCTATTTCCGTTGAAATCTGAGAACCGAAGGTTTTCAGAATAACAATACTTCTTTGATAAGGAAGTAAAAAATTAAACTGAAATGTATTGCCTTGCGTTTATAATACAATATTAGGAAAAATATTAGAGGAATTCAAAAAACCAACTTTACCATGCAAAAGCATGTTTTCTACTCAATTTCAATTAAAAAGGAACTTCAGTTTTCAGTTGAGCACCAACTGTCTAAATTTTAAAAAATTGCAAAAATATTTAAAAATTTAAATCATAACAATTATTAGATTAAAAACAAATATCAATCCGCTCTTAATATTAATATTTTAATTTAAGCTTTGAGAAACAAATTTTATAAAGGGAATTACGAGAGGCTTACTAATTTAAGAATAAATCCTCCGAAAGTTAAGGATATGGAGTATAAAATCTTATATTTAAAGTAATGGCAAAACCAAAAGGTAGGAAAAACAATAGTTGTTATGCTATACCATCGTAAACTAACTTCACAAATAAATAAAATCAAAATCAAAATTATTCAAGATGTAGCTATGTATTTATTTCACTGGCTAACTTGCTCACGGCTTGCAATACATGTTTTCCTCCAATGGGAATACGTTTTATTTCACGACGACACCAAATCCGTGAATTGAAAACCATAAACAGCTCAAAAGGGTTTCTTTTAAGGTGTCGAATAAAGGAGAAAAATTTCGGTTATATGTAATGGCAACAAATCAATCTTGCGTTTTCTGAATAACGTGGAACATTAAGATTGCAACTAGTTTTTTATTTATTTCCCAACCCATTTTTTATTTATTTACATATTTTTTATTTATTTTGTCATATTTTTAGTTTTTCAATTTAATTTTACAAATTATCTTTTGCCATAATTTATTTATTACATTATTTATTTAACACATTATCTTTCGCCACAGGGAATCATTAATGGTCAGTGACTTTAATTTTTTGATTAAAGGGAATTATTTTACATTAGTCAAGCTACGAAGGTATTACCGCAAGAAATATTTAAAATAAAAAAATCTTTCTGATCCTTAACAGAATTGAATTTTGAAATGGTTCATATTAATATGCTTTAGAATGCATTTATCACGCAGGGGGTAAAAAAAAAAAATGGTTGTCGATATAATCCTACGCCACGTAGTATGAGAACCGAAACTTTCTTAGTTCGTGATCTGATCTTGCTAAAGGTGTTGAAGCGAGACAAATACCATCTTAGTGCCCCATCATGCGTTACTTAGTTCACCTCAGCTTCGTCTGGTGAAATACCTGACCTCCACTTCTGGGCCAACGCCCGCGTGGATTTCTCTTTTGCTGCAGTTCCTTGTATGGCTATGACGTTTCGGTGACTGAGGGGGTGACGTCACTAAAGCTAGACGCCCTTATTGGCAGAGCGGATGTCGCTTAGGGATCGTCAGAAACCACACCCGTGACGCAATATCCTTTGACGGTTTTACTAGACAGTATAGTAGACTACGCAGATCTTGCGCTACGTTTAAGGGTATTGTTGCCAATTTTCACCTGATGTCGTTTGTTCTGCCAATAATTATGCAAATAGGAATCATCATTATTAATTAAAAACAATATCAAAATTGCTGACAAATAAATTACGTTTGCTGTTAATTTGGGTCACTTTCATTTATGTATTTTAATAAATATATAAACTTAAATGATTATTTTATTTTATAAATGCTTATTCATATACACATTCACCATATACAGTAGGGATTAAAACGTTTTCATTTTACATGCTTTTCTAAAAATTGCTTCTGATAATATACAAGTCCAATGCCTAAAAATAATTCAGAAAGTGTTTTAAAATAAGGTATCCCTTTAAACTGAAAAACCAATATTAATTCAGCTTTAACCTAATATAATATATGCAATTATTTAATCATTTTTACTTCCTTGCACGAAATAAAGGAAGTACTGTAATCGCGAAAAATTTCGGGAATCTTATTTCAAAGAAAATATCCATTTCGACCATTCTCGAATCTATTTGAACAATTTTTTTGCCTGACATCTATATGTACGGACAGAGTAAAAGCTATTTTTTTTCTTTCGAAAACGGATTGCAGAATGAATTTAAAATAGATTCAGAAGGAACCTTTTCGTGACGTTTGTACGTATGTATGTATCTCGAATAACTCAAAAACAATTAGTCCTAGAAGGTTGAAATTTTGTATATAGGAATTGCTATAATATGCAGTTGTGCCCCTCCTTTTACCATTGCAATCGGCCGCATCAGATGTTTATATATGTATATATATATATATAGGAGATAATATAATCAATATTTCTTTAGTAAATAAATTATTATTAACTTACTTTGCAGCAATTGCGCAAGTAGTAGTAACTCGATTACGCACTAGGGAATTTAAGATCATACAACAGTATATATGTATATACATGTAATAATAAAATTCCATAGTCAAGAATACACTTAAAATTCGAACTGTATTTTTTTTTTTTTTTTTTCATTTTTAATGGCGACGTTCTCTTATTTGAAAGTACGTGGAATTAAATCCACAGCCCCGTAGTCAAGTTGTTTTTCCCGCCTTTTCTACACGTACAGTTATAGAATGTTCTGGAAATATTTAAAGCGAACTGGATTGGCCGACGAGGCTGACGTCATTTTTGGAAGCTCCGCCTTTCCAGAGGCTATAAAAGGACTCGCAAAGGAATATCGGGGGCTTTTTCTTAAATGTCGCGATGCAGTAAACTTCATAGAAAAAGTTATTAGTAATTCTTTTTATTTACTCCGGATATCTGATTTTGTAACTGCTATTTCTCCCGAATAATAATAAATGGATCCTGTTTTTTTAAACTTATCGTCTAATAATTTAAGCTACGACTAAAGCTGGTACATCACATACATATAATTTATTTACTAAAATATTGATTAATTGATTATATTATCTCCTAAGTTTAATTAAGTAGAATTATTTAAAAGAGTGAATCCATACTGGTAAGTTATATTTTGAAAGATGTTTTGAAGTAATTTGAAAGCAAAATGTTAAAAATGTTTTAACGGGGACTGGAATTAAATCATGAATAACAAAACTTTAATTGTAAAAGGAATAAATTAAAGACAAGAATTAAATTAAATGCACGTAATCATTGTCATTGATCGGAAATTAGTTGACTTTTCAAGGGGAACAAACCAACTCCCGTTCAATGAACAATAATTGAATAAATACGTAAATACGAAGGTGTTTCGTCTTTACTCGAGTTATAAGGCAAAGCCAAACCGGCAATTCTAAGTCAGGCCAAATATTTCCGCGAATAGAAGGGATTATGATCCAATGCTGATATTCAAAGAACTTATTCTTATGAAGCATTTTAGTCAATTCAATTTGAGTAAAAAAGCAATTTGCAGTAAAATTTCGATAAACTCAAGTAACCGTCCCCCGACACCTTCATGTTTATGCATTTGAGTTCAATATTATTTGTAAAAATTAAACATTGGAAATTGTCATTATGAAATAGAATTCAAAGTAGTTAAAATAAACATTAGAAAATTACAAAATATAAGATAAATAATGCAAATTTGTAAAAACAAATCAAAAATAAAATAAAAATAAGAAATATAATAAGAAAAGTGAATGTGCATGAAGATATAAAGGCCCTCCAAGCGAACAATGATTAACTATAGAAAGTAGGGTAGCATTCCACTCTGAGAGGCAGAAATGAGGAAAGTAGAAACTCATCGAGGAAGAATAAGGAGACTCTCTCCTAAGGACTATCAAGAATTAACAGTATGCAAATTTGCACTGTGGAGAAGCAGCATTTTGCTCTTAATTGGTACCAGAGAAAGCCAATCAGAGCAAACGGTGGCCTTGAAAATGGCACATCATCATCGCTTCAAATATTACCTTAGTAATCGTCCGAAACTTTTCGTGAATGCTGTGGCGGAGTACACCTACGAGAAATTGGCAGATATTCACCTCACATACGATGAAGCAAAAGGGAATAGACACGAAGCACGAAGATTGTACGAACAGTGGTTACCATTCGTCGGATTCCAAGTCATGCAACCTTTCCAGTGTTGATCGAAGAATGCGAGAAACTACAGTAAGACCCCGCTTAACACGGGGGATACGTTCCATCGAAGTAGAGCGTAATGCGAAACAGCGCTAAGCTAGGCTATCTTAACATGTAAATAATGGGGTTAGGGGAAGACGGATAAAAAATGGTTAGGCATTAAATTTAATAATGTTTTTTAATAAAAATAAAATCAAACATTTATTTCTTACAAAAATAAAAACAATATAAAACGCATATACTTTTAAAAACAAATAAAATTCTCAGTCAGATCATTCAGTCTATTCTGGGTTTCCAATTT